CGTACTACTTACTACTACTCTCTCTCTCTCTCTCTCTCTCTCTCTCTCTCTCTCTCTCTCTCTCTCTCTCTCTCTCTCTCTCTCTCTCTCTCTCTCTCTCTCTCTCTCTCTTCTTCTTCTTCTTCTCTCACTCTCGCTTTCTCTCTCACTCTTCCATTCTACAATATCTCTTTCAAGTTTTGTCTCTTGTCAAGCGTGCAATCGGGACCTAAATTCTTTTTGTTGTGTTGTTGGGCTCATGCTCACAGTCTCATAGATGTCTTTGATGAAAGGTAGATCCTCGGGATGATAGAAGTCAAACAACGAACGGCCAACCATATCCTGTGGTAGATAGCCGAAGTATTGGACTACGTCGGGATCGACATGGGATAGGTGGCACGTCGCGGTGTGGCGGGTCGTGAATACCGAAGATATTATTGTTTCTTCTGGCGCTGCGGATAACGACAAGGTCGGAGTCATTTTCTCTCGTCGCGAGTTACTACCTTAATGAGCGAGATTTTTAATTATTGCGATGATCGAGGCGCCGACAAGCGACGAGGCGAAAAACGCGGGAGGAGAAAGGACGGGGGGAGGGGGGAAATTTGTTAACGCATTAGCGCACGTTGCTAATTAATTATTTCTTCGCGTGGTTAAAAGATTCATGCTCAAAAGGCTCGTCAATGTTATTCCCGTATCCTGTTAAGCAACGTCGCACAAATTATCGCATTACGGGCAAACTTTGTTTTGTACACAGCATCCGAATATATATATATATAACTCTCGTAAGACATAAATTTTCTTTAGAACTCAAATCCTATAGTGTCTGTATATAAATTTTATAAGATAAACGAAAAACGGAACAAAAATTGCGACTTGAGATCTGAAATTCAAAGAATGTCTTCAATAAGAAGCTTAAAATCCTTTTAAACAACACAGAAAACCCATCGATGCGAATACAAATTAGTTCATTAATGAAGCTTGTGCACAGAAAACGCATTGTGATGGAAAGCTTTCCATACGTTGATAAAAGTGAAGCGGATATGGAAGTAGATATCCTGTTTGTGAAAGATGATGAGTATAATTTGAGCAACGTATTGCTCATAAAATGAATAACAGTGGTCTCCAAACTAAACGAAAAACGGGAAACCGGAAAAATGGCGAAGAAATGACACCTTTAGAGAAATTTATTATTGAGAATTAAAGAAGAATACAGTATTTCAATATCTGTGCAGTACTATATTGAATTATTCAAATACTTAATAAATCATTCATATTAATATTAGAAATATTAAAAATAACTATTAAATATTCCTGTTAAAACTGCAACAATTAATTTTTATCAACAATTAATTAATCTATATCTAAATTAAAAATTTTGTTAATGTTAATAAATATTAACAAAAATAATAAATCACAAAATATTAATTTTAAGTAAGGAATATTTCATCATAAATAAAGTTTATATTTATACATACTAAAAAACATGCAAAAATTTTTTTTAAATAATCATAAATCTTGATAATAAAATTATATTTTATTTTCACACAAAGAAGATTTTTAACAATGATTAACCCACTGCACTAAGTATTGAAATATTAGAATCTTTTTAATTCAATATTTTATCTAAAGAATTCTTGAATTCGATCTTTTATCGAAAAATTTTTGAATTATATTTGAATATATACATGAACATACATACATGAAGAATTTTAATATATTAATTAATATTAAATTCCAATAGAATATTTAATCATTCAAATGACTTTAAAATACCTGTAGTCTCTATATAATTAAATCATTACGTATTACTAATTCAAGTACTTAAAATTAATCCATCGATAAGAAATTTCTCTAGAGGACAAATACAGCAAAGATGAATGGCGGATGATATATCAACGTATATATTATCGTTATTGATTACACCGTGTAGACGACTTTAAAAAATTGGAAGTAAGTTACCTTCGTTTTAGATGTTTTCCATGGAAACCATCGACTCAGTATCGTCTCTGTGAGTATTGTCAACGAGGTCGGACCAACGACAAGGCTTGATTATTGCGGATTAAGCGTTATCATTCGTGCATAAGAAATAAAACATAGAATGCATTTCGAAAATATATAGGCAGTTGGATTAAAAAAACAAAATTACTATATATGAAACATTCCTACAATTCCCTTCTTTGCATATTTCCGATATATCTTGCAAATTCGAGTCACTTTGTTTGCTACTTGTTGTATCATATAGCAATTTATTCCCGTCGAAAATATATTTTCAAGCGATTGGGTATTTGCAAGCAAAGCGTTGGGAAGATCTGCCTCGAAGTAACTCGGTTGCAAATCGCGAACTGTTTCGAGAATCATGTTGTGCTAAATCGCCGGTTCGCCACTAATTTTCGTGATAATCAAATCGACAATCTATAATTATCGAGTCCTCTCGCCAGTCGGACCTCGTCGAAGACCTTAAACATTGCTACCTTTGTATGCGGAATGGACGGGTTGAGCGGTAACTACGAGGAACATAGCTCGGTTGCTGGGCTGTTGCTCGGCCGTTCGATCCCGGAACGACAGGGTCAGGTGGAATGGCAGGTACAAGTTCGATCTGGCGTTCGCACGATGTCCATTCGGCACGTTGCACCTGGTAAACTTTTGCAGACCGCAGAACAGACTCGCCCTTCTGCCATTGATGCCTGAAAAAGAGATGAGAGTCTCGTTTGTCGTTGAGTAACGACAAAATAAAATTTGTAAATTGATTTCTAAAAATAAAGATAATTGGGAAAAAAAAATAGAAATTTATAAATCAACTGATCAAAATGCTTAAATAATAATTATAAAAGTGATCAATAGTAAAATAATGTTAATTATTAAAAAAAATTACAAAACGCGTAATAATATTTGGAATAAAAATACATAAAAAAACATTCACTATAAGTAAAATATTTATTTGAGTAATAAATAATTTTTCATGAATTATTTCTTCTCAATCAAATATGATACATTTTTATTTACCTTTGGACCGCTCCTCTTGCGGCGAGGCGATGCCACTGGTGATCTGATCGGCCAAGGTGGTTTTATCCTTCGGGTGTACATAATCGATGAAGGACCGGCCAATCCAAGCGTCTTTGAGATAACCGAGGGCGGTGCATATCGTCGGGGTTGTGTACAGCACAAGACCATCGTGCATCGAAATCACTGCACAAAATCCTTCCTACAGAGAACATCGATAAATTAGGAGGCTGCGAACAATCGACCAGCCGCGCTAACATTAACAGTCTTAATGCGAATGATAACGTGGTCCTCGTATATCTCCTCCGTTTTTATATAAAAAATAAATAAATAATAGAAAATAATAGAAAAAATAATAATAAAAATTAATGAACTTTTTATTAAAGCTTATCATAAGTGTTTAAAGCTACACTGTCACATTCATCAGTAAATTAAGAACTTGTCACATCGAATTTAGTCAGTCGTGTCAGTATTTCTATCACATGCATGGATTGCATTAAAAAATAAATTAGTGAGAGAAATATCGGTAGAGGAAAAGATGTTGATGGCACCCGTGATTATATTAATTTACACAAGTTACCCTATTACATTAGTCGACCTTTATCCTCCTCGGACATTTTCTCTCATGACAGTTAAAGGAAAGACGTTAAGTCAATAAATCTTTCACGAAGAGAAGTTCCGGTAATAGTTGTATAGTACGGAGTACTCTCGCAATTAGTTAACTTTCTCTTTGCAACAGAGTGAGTGAGTGAGTGAAA